AAATAAGTGTTGGAAATTGGCTCGTGCGCCGACCGTTCGTTCAAATTTACGACTTAATATAAAGTAGGTTTTCCGGGGGAATTTCGTGTCGTTTACGTGTCGTATCGGCATGTGTAATAACGGGTTCCCGCATGCGCGTAATGATATTTTTAACTAGTTTGTGTATGCGTACGGTGCTAAATTGTTCGCTGCATTCTAGTGACGTCCTTTTTGTTTGGAACGGTTTTCAGTTTTATTGTTCTTGTAGGATATGTTCTAGACTTTAAGACTTACTAGGCTTTAATAGTTCTTAGTGTTATGTTATGTGAAAATAATTTCAAAATATTTATCGAGCACAAACTCTATACGTCACACTCAAATGAGTGTCACTTTAAAATTAAAAAGTTTTTAATGTGCATTAATAAAAAGGACTTTATAAAAAACAAAAAAAAACACATCGAAATTGAATCAAAATTTCAAAGCATAGTAAACATGGAATACCTACCAATCCCGATTTCCTACTACGAGTAGTAAAGCGAATTTCTATAGCGTATTCAATAAAATTTTACCCATCTTGAATATCCAGACCAGACAAACAACGACGTATTCGAATTTCTAGACCAAAATTCTGACTTCAGCACATAGTCTGACCGGCTATTCGGTGGATAACAAGAGGCTCATCTCTTTCGTATGTAATAAGATTAGGACTACTATTATTGAAATACAAATTAACTACTTTTATTTACACTATAGTAGCTAGGTGTAACCACCTAATATTTAAACGACAATTATACAACACAATACAATAATTACACAATAAAATAAAGTACACAAAATTACATTATAATTATAATAGCCGGGTTACTTAGCCCAGATCAAGCGCAAAGAATGTTGCAGCCTCGGCCTGCAGCGTGACATGAATCAGGGTGTTTTGCAGTCAGTAAGAGTCTTATACCTTCCATGCCTTCTAGGGCAAGAGAAGTCAATCGATGATTTTTAATTACCGAGTAGTTCGTAGAAGTCCAACATCAGTTTCAGAATTTGAGTCTGGCAATTAATAAAGTAAATACAATAATGGTGTTTTGTAATTACTTACACCCGTGTAGTTTTAGAGTAGTTCTCAATTTAAAACGTTACCTTTCTTTATTTGAAATTTGAAAAATAGGAAGAAATAAGTTTTCTTCGTCTAAAAAATGTTCATTATAATTATACTGTTTATTAACAAAATACCTAAAGCTAACAGAGTTATAATAATCTCACTCGCTTCACAATTTCTTCGGAAGATAGAATTTGCTGTTATTCTAACCTATTCTCGTATTAGTTATCCAGGACGTTATCGATTACCATTCCCAGTTGACCTCAGTTGCTTGCATAGCGGATGCCATGTTCGTACTTACACATCTGACCTTATTGGAAACCGGTTTTAGTTCAACGAATTTCTCTTACTCAGGAAAATATCGTTTGAATGACAATTTAGTAATTGAAATGGGTTTTTGATATCTTTATTAAGTTGTAGTAGCTTTTTTTGAGGGAGAAAATTAATCAAAAGATTTTTCTTCATAGGGTACGGCAAGAGGGAGTGTCAAACTCTTACTGACTAAAAACCACCTCGTTCCTTCTTCTGCTCCAGGACGAGGCCTCGTTACTTAATTGCGCTTACCCCGCTTCCCGGCTGAAAACGACGTGATGACTGGAGCCGTCCTTTCATCATCGGGTTCAGCATAGAAGCTTGGTGAGTACCAACGTGACTCATTCAAAGTAAGCTATGTTTTTTCACTAAGATTTATACTACTTTAGACAACAATGACATAATATGGTAGAAGAAAACATCGTGAAAAAACCTTAAGTATGTCTTCTTAATCAAAAGTTTGATATCGCCAAATATCCTCGAGCAAGCATTGTGATTAACGCTTAAATCTTTTCTGTGTAAGAGGCCTAGATGATAATGACAACAAGGTACTTTTACGAAATAAATGTTAAGTTAGTCATATCTTCAAAAAAACAGATTAAATGAAATAAAACCTACTTTTTCTATTTCTCATATAATGTTGTACGGCAAAATAACATCCAATTATGTCTTTAAAAGATACTGAAAGTCAGGAATATCTTAAAACATTTTCTTTAATTCTATAAAACGGATAGCTCAACTAGTGAAAAAGAAAACTTTTCTTAGGAGAAAAAACGTTTCTTAGTAATATCAGCCAAGTCGTGAACTCAAGCCGTTCTAGCGTAAATTCAACAAATAAATGGAGATTTTCTAATTTATCGGCGCGCCCCGGAATGCTCTTGGGCACAGAAGAAAATCTCACAAATTGATGAATTCCTCGAATACCAACTCGAGGGTAATTCCAATGAATGTTTTAATGATATTTTTTTTTTCTTTTTACTTTTTCGCTTTCTGAAAAGAAAATTTTCTAGTTACATTTGAATTGCCTACATACGATTGAGCATGCCCTCGATTTAAGTGTCTTTACATTTAGAGAGTAATTGCTATGATACAGAAGAAGGTACAAAACATGAGGCTATAAATTTAATTTGACTTAATATTAAAACATTTTTTCTTTTATTCAAGATTATCATCGAAAATTTGAATTGGCTTCGGCAAAGTAAAGGTAAATTGCAGAATTCGAATATTGAAATCACTTCAAAAATAGAACACCATGTACATACATGAGTATGCATTATTACTTCGGTTAAGTAGCATACACCCGTAGCGAGTTGGAATAAGAGTGGTCTTGTCAAAATATTTGTAATATGTAGGTACGCTAAACCCCCAAAAAAAAAACACACAGCAACGCAGTCAGCATTCTCCAGAAGGCCTCCACATAAACATTAAAGAGAAAATTAGATAAAAGCAAGAAGGGAAATGTAACAGGATTCAAAGCCGTTATTTTATCAAAACAAAGCACATTTCAGCCGGCATGCCGCGCCTGCGTCTTAATTAATTACATTCAGTTGTCAACCGTTGACTTGTCTTCGGTGTGTCCTCATAAATTTAGTTTTTGCTACAGAGCTAAGTAACTGTAGAGGGCGTTGTTTTTTTCTACGTAGCTACTTCTCTTGTCTAGGAGTATGGTACAAGGATATGTGCGTAATGATATTTTTTCCTACTGACCTCCGCTTTTTATGTTTTATTATTTTAACAGGGTACTGAACAATGTAAGAGTACCGGGTAAGTTCGGGTTACTTTGACCCTGCGGGGTAACTTTGATCCAAACCCTTTAACCAATAATAACTGAGAACCAAACATACATTCGTTTTTCATTGGTTCGAAAATTTGGATCAAAGTTACCTCCCAGGGTCAAAGTAGCCCGAACTTACGGTAGTTGTCCTATATTTCTATAAAAACTTTTTACACAAGCCAAACGTTTCATCAAATTTGACAAAGACAAAATGCTTTTCAATATTTAAATCTCTCTTTGTCTCACTCAAACTCGCGTTTCAAGCTGAAATCCTTACATTTTCCTCGTATAAATCTCGCGCGGAACTAAAAGACAGCGACTGCAATAAAAGCTTCCATTAAAATCCCTTTATATTCCAGCCATATTGTCGCTTATGTTAAGTACAATACAACGAACACGTATTTATACAAAAAAACTGGCTTTCATTGTATTTAAATGTTGAAATTAGAAAGATTTAGGGTCGGTTAGGGGTCCATTTTAAAAGCTAATAAGGGCTTGCCACTTCCTAAATACCAGTGTTATTAAAATTTACGTTTATATTATAAGTCTGAATTACCGAGCAAATCGTGCCATATTTTTCGCAACGATTAAGAAATCATAGTCAAAGAATAACTTACCTACTTTTATATAGAACATTGTCTGCTAGACAACGACTATCATCGTTCGAATGAACATGTAAAATAGTTGTACAATTTGTAGTACCTATCCCTAACCAGTTAAGCATTCGTATGAATAATGGGGATCCACTTATAGAACTAAAGATGCGCTAGAAAATTGTGATTATTTCACAGACAGACCATACCCGCAATCATGTGCTTGGAATGAGATCAGCCAGCAAGAGACAGCAAAATAAACCACGTCTGAGTATTATGACCAATCCCCTCTTAACAAAGAGGTCCTTCGATCAGCACCTGAACGAATGATGACAATATTTTTTTTACACAAATGAGCATACTGATTACATAATGATCAGCTCTGGGCGCAGAACACTATACTCGCGGTACCAGACGACCAAACAAGCAGACGGATTACCTGGTGGCAAGCAATCAGCGCCCCACATAGACACTTGTTATACCAAAGGAGTTAGGAATTTAAGGAGCTTAGCTCTTGTAGGTTATTAGGAATTTAAGGATTAGGGGATTTGAGGATTGGGAATGGGTAGAGGGAAGGATTGTGCCTCTGGGAACCTCACTCAGACGGCGAAACAGAACGTTAACGTTGCATCACGCTGGTTTTCTGTGAACCCATGGTATCACTCCGGTCGAACTAGTCCATTCGTGCCGAAGCATGGCTCTCCCACACTTAAATGATGGTGTTACCCCATCCCCTGCAACTTTTCTTCTTAGTTGCCCTGTCTAACAATACACAAGTCTATCATTAAAAACAAAACGTAAATTATAAAGGCTATACACTGTCGCATTAATGCTTCGTGCAAAATGAAAATTTACAATTTCTTGGAGAAAACCAAAATTTTCATACCTATTACATTATTTTGTGCTGAATTCACAAAACTTCGCACCTTCATCTTATTCGTGTTTGCAATACTTATTTAAAACAACTTTGTAAAATTTATTCGAGTGTTATTTGTCAAGAACAACTGATAACTGGTATTCAGTCCAGGTTTTAAGTAAAATAGTATTTTCAACTCAAGTTTTATAGTTTTTAAAGTCATAATACAATGAAAGGTGTAACTTGAAAATGTTATACTAGAATTGCAACATTCGCATTTGGATTCTTCCTAGTGAATGCTAAGTTTATTAGTACTTTATGGTACGTTTAATGAAATTACATTTTTACTAGTTACAGCATTAGTAAACTCAAGTAATTTTAAATGAGTATTCAATCGATAGTATTTTCCTTATTCTTGATCTTTTCCAAGGCACACTTGTGTACGGCAATCTGTTCCTCATGAAACCGCTTCTGATCGTTCATGCTTTCTTTTATTTTCTGTAGAAGTTCTCTCTCCTTTTTATAGAAATATTGGGATTCTTTCGCCATTCCCCTTTTTTTGAATGCACCACCAGCGTCTCTGATTGAGCCAGCCCCGCCAGTGTCATTGCAAGCTAAAAAAATATTGTAAAAACGAATTATTTTTTTATACGAGTGTGCACCTTATTGTTGCTTGAAAATAAACCATGCATTGCATTATTTAAAAAAAAATGTTTCGTAATAACTGCCGCTTATATAGTTTTCAGTCGCCCAAACAATTTGACTGACCAGAATTTGATATGCATTGAAATTGCTTGCAATTATTTCTTAATGCCTGTCGTAGAAGCCCTATCGCCAATGCCCAAATATGTAACCCCAAACGGTCGGTAACGTACTTGTTGTGTTGTTCTGATTGTAACATATTGTAAAATCCGTAACTGTACGGAATCCTCGATTGTGAGAGTTTGAGTGAACAGTGTGAGTTTTTTACGGGATTGCGGGCAAATGAACATACTGATAGATACATGATCTGAGGGCCTACCATGACGTGTTAAAGCGTCAATCTTCCGGGCGAGAAAGAGGGATGGAGAAATACGCCTTTTACAGCTAGAAAAAGAAAGAAACAAAAGAAAACTACTGCACTTCGCATAAATCACTACATTCGCAATACCAGACTATTTACAGCTACGTTTCCGGCCTTTTTTGTTGGGTCTCTGTAGTAACCTTATCCACTTACTCTCTCTTGGTTTTTTAAGTCAAGTTATTTCTTCCGATGACTTCTCCTGCCCAGTCGCCTTACCCTAGCAGTACTGACTAAAAACCCCCCCGTTCCTTCTCCTGCTCTAGGCTGAGGTCGTGGTGCCTCATTGCGCTTACCCCGCAACCCCGGCTGAACATCAGCCCTTTTGGGCCCCGTCTGTGGTGGTCTATTGGCTCTTTGAGGCGCGCGCGGAACGCTACGCGCCATACGCTCGGGTCTGGTTTTGGTCGGGCGGCGAGCTACCCTTACTCGCCGTCCGCAGACCCGCGCTTACGGTGGCCCGAGATCACCTCTCGATTTCTTCCGCCTTGGGTGAAGAGAGGAAGTGTCAGACTCTTACAGACTACAAACCACCCCGTTCCTTATATCCGTTGCGGTACAATATTACCCTTGCAAGTTAAACGTGTTGTGTGACCCATCTTGTCTTAGAAGCCATGATATAACTCATTTTTATTAATTCTAATACACTTACTTGATTGAAGGCGTACAAAATTTGTTAATGTTTTCATACATCCAGCTGTGAAGCTTCCATTGATTTTAGTTGGCAAATACTTCATTGTTTTGTGTAAGTTTAAGAGTATAGATCAGAGGCAGGTGAAGATAGATAAATATTTTTTGCTGTTTTAGCTTTGTTTTTTGGTAAAAATATTAAAATTGTGATAAATGCATGTTTTGGTGTGATAATGTAGTAATAATTGTTTCTGGGGCGTGTATGATCTAGTTGGCCATGACTTGGCAAAGGCCAAGTAAAAACTGATGACAAAAATAGACAAAAAAGTTATATGTATATGTATACGTTGTAGCCAAATAATTCAATTAGTCATCCAAGCAACAACCTTGACTAGTCGTTCGATTGAATGACCTGACAATTATAGGTTAGGTTAGAATATTGAGAAATTCAAAATTATTTGTCGATTAAATTATTTAAGCATATCTATTACTAGCTACTCTTGCGCGGTTTCACCTGCCCCTCGGCTCCATTTGATCGTAGCGTGGTTTATAGCCTATAGCACTCAAGAACATTGTAGCTATCTATCAGTGAAATAATTTTGGCAGTCCGACCAGCGGTTCCAAAGATTACCCTCTACATCCAAACTTACAAATTTTACCTCTTTATAATACTAGTATAGATATAGATTTAGATGATGAGGTACCAATGGCACTAAAACTACTTTCAGTACAGAGGTGCAAACGATTTTGAACCTTTTAAATATCAAAATAAAACGAATTTTTGATTAAAATTACCTTTAATCACATTTTCCGAAGTATTTTTTTAATTCTTTTTATAGCTTTTTTGTTCATCATCTGTAATGACTTGTGATAATTAATTTCTTCTATTAAGTACATCTTTAAATGCTGCAGAAGGTCTTTTTCAGTCTTTGTCTTAGTTTTCTTTGTTCCATTCATATAAATTGATACTGCGGGATCATGTAGTACTTTTCGTGCATCAGCTAAAAAAATAAATAGGGAATTTATTAAATAAATCTATAATAATAAATAAATAAAGTTTATTGTGTCAAATAATTGGTTTACAAAGATTTGTGTTCGGAATCATCTTTTAGACAAATAATGCCTGTAGTAGACGATTCCGCTTCTCCCCGATAGCACAGCGTGATAATTAACACAATATTTATTTATTTTAACAAACATTGAACTTAAAATTAAACAGTGACAACAACATCTATCTTATCTTTAAGAGAAAAAGTTGTCAACACTGATACAATCAAAGATTGAAGGCAAACATAGTGAGGATAGTTCTTGAATATAAATAAGAATAAAATAAAAAAATATATAATTTATTTCTTATTACATTGTGCACACAAATCTTAATATTATATTAACACAGTTCCACATCTTATACTACCGTGACCGGTGTAGAAATATAAAATGGCGTACCTATACATATATGGTGGTATATTTTATTTTAGAATTATTATTTTTATACAGTTCAAAGCAAAGAAAGTAAATATATTATAAATGCCATTAAATCAATTCATCGAACCCTTAACGAACGCCGGCGTTAACGCACCTGTCGTCTTTCTATTGTTGAATTTGTCGAATTTCTATGTTTGAATTATCAAGTTTGAAAGGTTAGGTTTCTCTCTTACAAACAATGCAGTCAAATAATAATATAGGTGGTCAATAAAATAATTAATTATAAATAATTTTAGTCAAACATAATAGTAATTCAAAATTACAATCCGCTATTAACCAGTGTGATGATTAATTGTCTTTCTTTCTCCATGTGCAAAGAGAGCTCTAACTGGCAGTGGAACATTTAAAGGCTGATGAAGATAATGATGACTTATAGATAGATGATATTAATACATCGTGTTACTCACTATTAGGGACAATGCAGGCAATGGCATCAACCCCAGGATTTCCAACTTTATCACAGGCCTTTTTATTCCCGGATTCTATCAATCTATCTTCATTATGTACAAACTCAGAAAACCGCATATACCTCACAGCCTTCATTGCTTGCATTCCCCACAAATTTAACTTCGTCAAAAAATTCATAGTAGATACTTAGGTTATTTTAAAACAAAATAATCAATATATTTTGGTTCGATACATTCATAATTTATCATAAATAAAATCGGATAAATTAAACATAAAACTTATCTAAATAACCTATTTTTATAATGACACTAAACCATAGACTCAACTGTCAAACTTAATTTGTGAAGACCAGCAAAAAGTTTCTACAATTTATAAAATCTCTAAAAAGGATTTATTGATTTGACTAGTTTAATATACTTGACGGAGAGAAAACAGGAATGTTATCTTCGGGCACGCCTTTCTCCTCGTGCATCTTTGGGAAACACGAAATAATACCACAAAAAAAGATCAACGCTATGTTGATCTTTTTTTATTTTATTTTATGGAGTAGGACGTAAACGAGCACCCTATGGTAAGCGATCGGCACCGCCCATGGACACCCGCAGCACCAGATGAGTCACAGGAGCGTTGCCAGCCTTTTAAGAAGAAGTATGCTCGTTTCTTGGAGGTTTAAGGGTCGTATCCAAAGTTTTGCTATGCGGGGCAGAAAGTTTCAAGTGTCAAAAACCTGTTGGTTTTTTATTTTTAAGTGCCCACAAAACGACACTTATCGGTTGAAAAATATCACTAACGCCATCACTTTAAACATTACTAAAAGTTATAAATTCTACAGCCGCCTTCTGCGGCATACTTAAACTTATATCGCAATGTGAAGTCAGTCGAGTAAGACAGCGTACAATATAATATCTGTTTTACTACCAAAACGCGTTCTAAACATTTCATGCATCACAAATATATCAATTTTTATTGTTTACAACTGCATATCCAATGTCCCCAAGGAACAACAGTATTCATAAAATTGTATTGGTGAAATAAAATTTTATATGTGCGTGTTTCATGTCTATAAGGGGGTGTATACAGTCATAGAAAATGGACGGTGTGTGCGTTGGTATTTTTCTTAGAATAGTCCCATTACGAGAATAATATTTTTCTCAAATATAAAAACTTTTTGCTAAATATATAATATCTTATTCCAAGTCTCATTATAGGAAGTCACAGTTATGGATTTTTTTTGCAGAACTAAGACCTTATATACGGTGATGTGGTGCGCCGTGTTTTCTTGAATACATTGCTCAAAATGGTCATATGTGTTTATTAGCATGGTGAACTACAGTAATGTACGACAAACGCACTATGCGCAATTCACGTGGGCGTTTATCTTATGGTATTAATATGTATTTCATAAAAGGAATACGTCTTTACGACAAGCAGAGCTCAAATTTCTGTCAAGTCATTACCGAGTATTTCGAAAAACAATCTGATACTCTAACACTATTACTTGGAAATCCAACACTCCTTGCTCAGCTTTTCTCACTTTAGACAAACCATTGTGAAATTTTTATTCTAATTTTATCTTACTAATATTATAAATGCGAAAGTTACGCTGTTTGGATGCTTGTTACTCAATCACGCCGAAACGGCTGGATGGACGGATCTGGATGAAATTTGGCACAGGCATACGATACACTCCGGGATAGGACATAGGCTACTTTTCATCAACACCTAAGCGGGCGAAGCCGCGTAGAAGCTAGTTATGGTATAAGTCTGCTAACTAATATTCTTATTACCTGATGGTAAGTAATCACCGCCCCTGAATTGACACTCGTAACACTAGTACTCTTAATCGCCACCGCAGTCACGCCGAAGCACGGCTCGTTCATACTCGTATTGAGTACTAATCATAACATTGAATGCTGTCAACGAAAATTCACAATTTCCATTCACACATGATCGCACAAACGTTTGCAGGCTGCTCTCTCTAGAATAAAATACAATTTGAATTATTCCACATATGTATTGTGTTCTTAATGTAATTAAGTACATTTTTTGTGCAAGGAAAAATTAATATCATTGGGGAGTTGGTTTTTGGAATATTTAAGATTGTTTGGTAACGCTAAATTTATGTACTTACTTCTTAAATATATTATATAGAAATATAATTTGTTATCCTGAATGGATAACAAATTACATTTCTTTTTTTAGATAGACAAACTGATACGAGCAAACGGATTACCTGATGGTAAGCAATCAGCGTCGCTCATGAACACCCGCAACGATGGAAGAGTTAGTTACTTATGCGTTGCTAACCTTTAGTGGATTAGGAATTTGGAGATTTTGGGAATGAGGAGGGTTTGGGGTAGAGGAAGGATTGGACCTCCGGTAACCTCACTTACACGGCGATACACAACGCTGTAGTTGTTTCACGCCAGTATTCTGTGACGTGTTTAACATGTCTTTTTTTGTCAGGAAAACATCATCATATGGCCTCTCTCGCCCAGGGTAAGCCGAAAGAGAGTGTCAGACTCTTACTGACTAAAAGGGTTTATATTGTATAAATTTTTTTGTTAACACCAACAAATGATTTAATTAAAAAAAAAAAAAAACACACCGTTCCATCACGTGTTTAACATGTCTGTGAATTGATTCAGACATGTGTGTGTAAGACTTTACGTTGTATCTCTAACTACAAGTTTTCAAAAAAGTACGTACAACAACAATCAAAATGACAAAGTACAGACTAACATCAGTATATCAACACGACAACACTTTAAAAACAGCGACAACAAAAGAAAGCGCCCTACAGCGCAACAAAAAGCTAAAACGGCGCTTTGTAAATCAGTAAGGCTGACGTGAATTACTATCGCCAAGTGTGAATTTATAGGGGCCGAGTGCCTTTTCCTGCACTAATTCAATACAAGGGGCTTGAAACAATGAACATTGCGACTGTGTGCAACCTGCTTTACGTTGCCTGTATTGAAATTACTGGATTGTATAGTTCTTGTAAATAGTTCTAGGTGCTTATTTTTTACCCGATCGCCGAAAAAGGAAGTTAGGTATAATGTTTTCATTTCATGTGCTAAAAACGTTACCTTTTCGCAGAGTGATGTTTGCTTGATAAGCACAAGGTTTGGGTTTTGGTTTACAAAAATAAGTTACTAAATTCTCATTTTGAATATAAAAACCTTGTGTATCATAGTAGGTATGTACATATATACTCGCCTCTATTACAATTACAATGGTTTATATGTGTTATTGAAAACCTTTTCAAGAATTTAAAAAAGTAGTTAGGTCTTTTTAGTAAATAAATTCTCATTTACATAATATAAAACTGGAGAGTTTGTTTCCTAGCTTGTACCACTGGTTCGAATTAAACTATTATTTTGTTTTTAATAGTGTGATTTAAGCGCCTATATATACACGAGACACAGTGTGTTTTCTATTGTGTCTCATACACCACCAGCAGACAAGAGATTAATAATCCACTTATCGAGGACGGCTATTGGCTAAAAATCATTAAAATACGTTCAATAGGAACCGAGCAACGGATGAACGGCGGGAACGGATAATTATACAATTACCACTAATAAATTATATCTGTTTTAACAACTACTAGTTAAAAATACAAGTACTAATATTTTACAGAAATAGAACATATTAATATTTATTCGAACACCGTACATTAAAGATACAAAATATTCAAACCTCCAAAGAGCTACAATATTGCGTGCTGTCGACGTACGAGTATGTCACAGGCAAACGTCACGGTCTTTCTAAATTGTTTAAGATTTTCCTACTTTTTGGCTTAAGTTTGGGCTTCATTTTAGGTGCATTGTCTTTTCTGTTCTGTGATTGTCAGCTAGGATAAACATGAGTGGTTAAAATTAATTGCTCAACATTTGACCGTTAGGATTTTCTATCAATGAAAAAAATCGGCGCGCAAAATTCATGTGACGTCATCGGTTGATTCTTCAAAGTGCGTCGCCACATAATTTTCACTTTTCATGTTCAAAATTCCCATAATTTAAAGTTTCAACAATTTCAAAAGTTCCTTTAGTTTTCGGTTTAAGTAAAGTACCTAGGTATTCAGTGGGATTTTAGACTACGTTGAAAATTACGACGTCATTTGGAAGTGGCAGTATCTCATGAGTAGTTTTGAACATTTCCTTGAAAGACACTCAAATTCTCTTGTTGAGGACTTCAGTTGAAGTAAAATGAACAAAAGTTTAATGATATATGTATAGATGTGAATAAGATACATTAACTTTTACCTACGTTTTCATATTGTATGACACAATGACACAACCTATGCAAATAGATTTTGGACCAAAATACTTTCCTACTACAAACGTGTTGAAGCGTTTTCCTGATGTTTTGTTTTAAATCAGTCTCTTCTATTTTTTGTCTCTTTTTACACACTAGGATATTCTCCTGGACTGTGGATGCATTACAAACATATAGTTCCACTTTCACATTACACCCAGATCAGGAACAAAAATTTGTGGATACCATACAGAGCTGTTGTACCAAATCATTTGTTTTTTAAAGTTTTTTTTGTAAGGGGAAAATCATCAAATGACTATGAGAGAGTGTCAGACTCTTACTGACTAAATACCCCCCTGTTCCTTCTCCTGCTCTCGGCCGAGGTCGCGGTGCCTCATTGCGCTTACCCCGCAACCCCGGCTAATTTGTCTTAAACTAAACTCACATTACGTCATTCATCATACACATGAAAATCTTAACAGTGCATAGTACGACATGGAAAGTGAACTCTTTTCCAGTATCCGTTCTAGCCTTTCAACCGTGATAATTCGAGACACAGTAGAAGAAAATTAGGGCATTTTGCTTGGTGTCTGATGAACTAGTGACCAGACTACTAAGAATTTTCATTATCCTACACTTATTTGTAATTTAATTTAAACTTACCAGATACGACAAGGCAAGCTAAAAAGGAAAGCCAGATATTTAACAAAATAAATCATTGGCTATGAGGAAAAAAAAATATAAAACGAGAACACGTTACAAGTGAACGCGTGAATTGCGTAAACTTGTTTCAGTACAAACATTTTTCCTCGGCTGACAGCGGGAAATGTGCGCGCGGTTCTGCTATCGTGTTCGGTCTTTTTAATTGTATTATT